AAAAAAAAAAGAGAAAAAAAGGGGGAGAGCCGGCCAATCCCCAATGGTGGGGCGGCTTAGAGGCAAAGCTGCCTTTATCCTCCTGATAGGAGGTGATAGGAGAAAGAGATTGCCGATCCGCAAAGGTGGGGATGGCTTAAAGGTAAAGCTGCCTTTTTCCTCCTGATGGGAGGGATACTCCTGATAGAAGAAAGGGATTGCTGATGCCCTCCTGATGGGAGGGATACTCACGAACTCTGCACGTTCCAGGAGCCGCACGTTCGGGCGCCAGCTGCAGGGCGGCTCGGGCCAGCTGCAGGAGGCTCGGGCCAGCTGCGGGAGGCTCTCCCTTTGCTCACGGTCACCGGTCCACAAAGGCAGGGAGAGCAGAAGCAGCGAACGGGGTCAGAACGGCCAGTGGGTGCTGATGGAAGACAGCTCTTCCGGGGAAACTGATCACAGGCTGATCACAGGTGCAGTGAAACAGCAGTGATACAGCTCCAGACACAGTGAAAACAGCTCCAGGCACAGTGAAAACAGCTCCGTTTATTAGTGGGAAAACTAGGGAATTTATAGTGTGGAGGCAGTAGCAAAAGCCTCAGTTGATAGGTGCTCATAGTATGCTTTATTTACATGTGACAGTGGGCTCCTATCTTCCAGACTATCAGACAATGCCTGATTATCATATAGAAAAAACCTGGGAGTAGTTTTTACTCCAGGTAACTATGCCAAAGGTCATGTTTCAGATAAGGCATCTGTGTTTGGCGGCACTTCAAGGTGAGCCAGGAAGAGAGCAGAAGGCCCCCTGCTGGAAAGGGGAGTTTTTCCATTTGGCACCAAGCCCCTCAGGGCTATCCGGACATGGAGAACCTACAACCCTAACAGCAGGGTTTCCCAACACATATGGACTCTTAAAAAATTATATTGACCCCATTAATCTTTGGTTATACTTTCCTCTTGGGTGTTTAAGACCCTACAGTTGGCCCAAATAAACCAATTTATTTTTACTCTTAAGACTGTTTGAGGATTTGTTCCTCAGGGGATACATGGGCTCCTTTCTTTTACCAGTTCTGTCTATGTGAAGATAAGTCAAAGGTCTTGTTTGACCATTGGCTGGCTTCGCTTGGAAGCATGGAGGAAATTATTCCTCTGTGTTGACTCTCCTTTTTGTAAACTGGACACTGGTTCAAGTCCATTTGATGGGGGTCTCCATGGCCTCCTTGATCAAGAGGTCAGGTGACTCACCACCTTTACAGGACATTTTGAGAGATGCTCACAGTCCCCAGGACTGATCTCTAGGCCCAGAAATCCCCACTGCTTCCTTGTATTCCTTGAGAACTGTCCTTTGAGTATTTATTATATATACTAACATATTACAAATGAGTACATTTTGTGTCTGTTCTCTGCAGAAGACTTTTTAAGGTGACAATACATTTTAAAGACTTTAAAAAAATCAACCTATGTAATTGACAGTTATCTTTTATTTTGTGATGAAAAACAACTTGATACTACTATGCACATTTTGAGCATTTAATTCTGAAAAATAACCTACTTGTAGTTTTAGAGTGACAGCAGAATTAACATTTCTGAGAGGATAAAAATGAAATCATTTGATGTTGTCAAAGGTCTCTTGGAAAGCCAGGTGTGGTAACAGCCCTATAATCCCAGCAGGAGGCAAGGCAGGAAGATCTTTTGAAACAAGACTCAAGGTCCAAGATCACCCTGAGCTATACAGCATAACTGTCTCCAAAAAGCCAAACCAATCCAAATCAAACCAAAATTACCTCTGGGCAAAACTTAAGCTCTAAATAAGGAAGACAGTTTAAGCCAGTGGTTCTCAAACATTTGAATCACATGCAGGTTTGAAGAAAAATCTCTGATGAGGCTACATCCCAGACCAATTCAACATGAATGCCCAGGCGTAGGGCCCAGATTTATTTTTAAATCTCTAAATAGCTCTTGTTACAAGCAGCCAAGTTTTATAAGTCAATAGTTTTAGATAAATATTTAATAATGTAGATGTTAAACTAATCAACAGGCCCATTAATTAATTTAGAAGATATTTTGCCTTTCAAATCACTTGGAACCAGTTAGAAAAATAATTACTATATACCTTGTAGCAAAAACTGTAATGTACTACAAGGACCTAAGTCAAAACTTAAAGCTGAACTAGGACAAGGGCTGTTTTGCATATTTTCAGTGACCATATTTTACCAATTATTAGTAATGTTAGAAACTACAGTGGCTGTAAATATTGTTTTTAATTTTATTTATTTTTTTAACTTTATATGTATGACTGTATTGTCTGCATGTATGTGAGTGCATCTGTGTTGTGCAATGCTGCAGAGGTCAGAAGAGGGCTTTGGATTCCTCTGGAACTGGAGTTAAGTCTTATTTTCATGAAAGCAAATTTAAAATGCAGATACTAAGTATTCCTGACAACATCTGCCTCTGAAGATTTATAATCCTATTTCTTGCACGAGTTCTCCAGTGATACAAAGACTTCAGCTAGAAGAGGACATAGGAGAAAATAACTGCTAAACAGCTTCAAATTCGTGGAAGTAGAGGAGATGGCAGTGGTGATCAGATACCTCTCCATACTCAAATACATTGGAGAATTTTTTGAGCAACTCATGGTTTTAATGGGCTCTGATAACCACAAAACCTATGTGAGATACAAATAGAGTTTGTTTTTATTCTTACAGGAAAGAAGAAAAAGAAGCATTCCAAAAATGTTCATATTCCCACAGCCACATGTAGGAGAACCACAGTAAGGAGGAGTCCCAAGATAACGTAAGGACACAACTGCTGTGAATTCAAAAGGCATAAACAAAACCACAGAAATGTGTGCACCTAATTTTATATTTTGCAACTGTTAACAGAAGACTTTAAAGTTTGAAATTTAGTAACTTGCTCTACCCTCACCATGTAGCAGAATCAGTGACAATCTTTTAAACAATACAAAGGGATAAACATGACCAGGTTATTAGGTTAAGGGTTACAATTCTTATTTACTTGCATGGCTGTGACATGAGTGTCTCAACACCTTCAGGGTATAAACAGCTTACCTAGGCAAAACACGCCACAGGGGAATGGTCTATGTAGCCTGTATTTCATTCCATCTAAGCTGCTAGTTGTAAGAGCCTGATTCCAGAATGTCACAATGGCAACTGATGGCTGCTGGAAGGGGCAAGACTTTTGGTAGGCTCTAATGGATGGATCCACACTGAAGGACATTTGGAGACACAAATTAAGACTCTAGAGGCTATATATATATATATATACACACACACACATATATATATATATATATATATATGGCCTATAGAGTCTTAATTTGTGTCTCCAAATGTCCTTCAGAATGGATGTGTGTGTGTGTGTGTGTATTAACTGAGTACATTAAATGGAGTAGGGGCAAAAAGAGAGGTAGGGACAGGGGAGGGGGATCTATATACCATCAAATTAATAATGTATGAAAATCACAAAAATTCAATTGAAAAAAGAAAAAAATGTCACAACATGAAAAAGTTTCAGGATCAATAAAATATGACATTTTGCTTCGAAAACAAAATATGAGAGGGATGGGAATATGTGAGTACTACATGCATTTATTCGTTAGACAAGAGACACTAATCTTGATGCTTAATTTTTCTTATTTCCATAATTACTATGGCAAAAAAATAAATGTGAGAACATTACAGTTATTTTGTAATTAAACTTTTTATTATTTTCTTCTTTACAGAAACAATAATCTGAACACACCTTCAACAACCAAACTGTCTATAAACAGAAAGCTTGCTTTATAAATTAGGCTCTATTTTTGTACTATCATTAAAATACTGTCTTGGTAAAAATAAATAGATAACAACAAAAAATTATTTCCATATTTGCTATCATACTCTACAAGTATGTCTGCCTTTGTAGTTTTTTATAGGATAAAAAACAAATTGAAAGAGAACAGGCATAAATAATTATGCCACTGCTAAGGATGTTGAAGTTCTCCACAAACACATAGCAGACACAGATACACGATTGTTCCTGAAGGATAACTGGAACTCATGATACAGATAGCATTCTATGCAGTACCATATTTTGTATTTTCCACATCTAACCAAGAGGTTTGTTAAGTCAAAAAACAAACAAGCGTTAAGATATATTGACCATCTTGCTCCCATGTGTGACAGAATGGTATTAATACATTTTTTTAATTCTTTATTTTCTTGCTAATACTTCTAAGGTTTTGGCATTTTACACTCAGTTTCCATTGGCCCCTTCTGAGAGTATCCGGGATGGTTCAGTAAATTTCACAGTGAATAAGTAAAACAGGGCTGGTGTAGGTACCAGAGCCAAAAGGGGTAGATCCTGCTCGAGTTTGTCCACTCTGGAAATGGAGATTATCCCATAAGCATGAAGTAGCCAGTGGCTGAAGAGAACAATAAGTCTTTTCTTCCTGACCAGAAGATCATAGCAGTTCTGTGTCATTGTATAAAAAAAGAAAAGAGAAACACAATTACAAAGCTGAATCATCCAGGGAACCCATTTACACACTAAGTCACGGCCTGGGAATCAGAATGCTTGAGCTTAAAAGGAGAGAACCACCGAGTCTGGCCACCACCTCACTGATGAGGAAACAAAGCTTCCTGTGGTCACAAAGTGTCAACAGCAGCACTAGAGCTGCTGTCTCCTAAGTCCTGATCTACATCACCATTCATTCCTGGAACAGCAGTTTCTTCTCAGAGATATGAACTAGAGGAGAATTCCACATTATGAGTTCTCCCTGTCCAGATCCACTGTGGCTCCCCAACCCTCTCCTCACCCTCTAACAGTCCCAGTGTCTGCTGCCTCAACACATGGAAGAACAGAACGACTCAAGTCTCTGACTTCCTTTTAATCTTTAATGATGTGCCATAATATGGAAAATGGGAAGGATCAAATTAATATAGATACTACAGGGTGAAAACACCCAAATTAAAAAAAAAATTTTTTTTAAGGCAGGGGCCTGGAGAGATGTCTCAGTAGTTAAGAGCACTGGCTGCTTTTGCAGAAGACTTGGGTTTGGTTCCTAGCACCCACATGGTGGCTATCAACCATCTGTAACTCCAGTTTCAGGGAATCCAACGCCTTCTTTTAGCCTTCTCAGGCATTGCATGACCTGGGTGCATTTATATACATGCAGACAGAACACTCATATACATGAAATAAAAACAAAAACAAACTAAGAATAAAACAGAGGTGGAAATGGAATACCTAATTACATAAGGCTCTGTGAAGTGTTACCAGTGTAATATGAACTTTAAAATTAGTTGTCCATGCACTAAAGCATTTTTATGTATCTCAAAACATCAATGCCCTTTAACATGTCAATAACTGAAGGTTTGCTTTGTGAGTAAATTATGCGAAATGATTTTTTCTTCATCATGCTGTGATAAGAGTGCCTGACTACTTCATAATTCACTAATTTCCCAGGATATACAATGTAGCTCATAAAATTAACTAACAAGGTATAAGCTACAGAGTGGCATCATCTAGCCAGGACCACTGACCAATCAGTGTACCTTACCATATAAACTATCCTATTCAGTTGTCAAATTTTATCAAACAAACCCCTAAAACTTGAACAAAGGAAAACAGATTTTCTACCTCTATTTCCGAAGCAGACATGTACACAGCCAGAGTAACCAAAGATAACACTAATATAATGTATGGGAAAGCGTAATCTGAAAGACAAACATCAACGCTGTGTTAGAAATGAACAAATTAATCCATCAAATAAATTCAAACAGTTCAATTCTTCCTATCACTGAATCCTTTCTCATCTAGGTCTGCGAGATTTGCATCCCACCATCCTTAGATATGACTGGCAACCGTAGTAAATATTTTCTGCATAGTAAACATTTTTGGCCTTCTAGGTCAGTCTCTGTCTCAACTATCCAGTACACAGTTGCAGTGGGAAAGCAGCCATAGTAATATGTAAATGAATGGCCATGCCTCTGTTCCAATAAAACTTTAAAGACAGTAAAATTTAATTTCTAATAGCTTTCATATAATAAGTATGCCTTTTGAACTTTTTCTCAACCGCTTAGAAATGTAAAAATCTATCCTCAGTCCACCTTTGAGGAGCTAAGGGATTCATTGAAAACAATTAGCTTCTCTCTCCTTTGTGTCCAGAATGGCACTAGTGGTAGGTACCAAAGAGACCTGAGGAAACAGTTACTCCGTTTTCTGTGTTTTATGGTCCAGCAAGGGAACTTTGGTTGAGAAAGGCTTTTTATAAAGCACAGTATCCAACATCTCTGGAATCCTGCAGTGTATTCAGAAGCTTCCTACTTTGTTCACTCAGCTATCAAGAACATGCTTTATCTCCTAGTAGTATGTTTAAGCCTTCTAACAACAACTTTTTTCTTATTTTTCTAAGGCAGAATCCAATCTAAAGAGCTGCTAAATGGTAATTTTAAAATTAAAAATTGACTGAAATTATCTTTACTGCATACAAAGCTTTGCATAAGGGACCTTAGACACTAAGACAATAGTAAACATTATACATCGTCATTTCCATCTATTGTATGCAAAGCCATTTTTTAAAATTTTATGCTCAAATTCTGAAACTCTTGCAATTCTGTTATCAATTTCAAATGCAAACGCTTTCTGAACAGAAGTCAGTTTTGATTAGCTGCCATCAATTTCTTGGGAAACTCTTTCATTCTGTTTTTATAACATTATGTTTAAGCAAAAATATATACTAAAGCTTCCTTTCAAATATCAAAGGACGATTTTAAATAAAAAGTTGCAAAATTCAGTTCAGTGGAAGCACTGTTGTTATAAATATTAGCAAATATATTTCACTGACTTTAGTCATCAAACTTACACAAGAGACCCCCACCAACTGCCTGTAGCACAGTTAGAATCGGGAAGAAGTAAAGTGCGGCATAGATACTCTTGAACCGGTCAGACTTCCCTAGTCCACATGCAATCTTCTTCACCAGAAGAGGTCGGAGCAGCATCATTAACAACAAGCAGAATGCATAATAGATAAATACAATGGTGTACCTACAAAATAAGGCATTATAGTATCAAAACATGCTCCCAACATTTTAATCCTGGATGTTGTTAAATCAAAGACTTGATTAACTTGATCAGCATTAAACAAGCCTTGAAGTCTCTTAAATAAACACCTACAACTGAATTACCTTTTTAGCTGATATAGTTAGCATGCTTGGACTCTGCATCCCATGATTTTATAATGCTATTCATTTGTATCAAACGTGAATTCACAAACAGATACAATTCTAGATAATTTATTTATCACCACTAGAGTTTAAAGGACAATAGTTTTTTTAAATGTTTTATTTATTATTTTTATTTTATGTGTATGAGTGTATTGCCTGCATGTGTATAACTGCACCCGTGTCTTGCAGTGCCCATGGATTTCAGAAGACGTTGGATTACCCCAGAACTGGAGTTACGGATGGTTGTTAGCTACCATGTGGGTGCTGGGAATCGAACCCGGGTCCTCTGCAAGAGCAGTCAGTGCTCTTAACCACTGAGCCATCTCTCCAGCCCCGAATCTGACTTAATTTTAAATGAAGTATATATCTTATTCAAACATGATATTCAGTTAGTGCTTAAGTTTCTAAATATAACTAGGTCAAATTCTACAAGTTCTTAGGACAGGACATGACAGGAAAGCACTTGAAGCTGAGTTATAGCTCTAGAGTCAATAAATCAACAGGACATTATTAGTTTTATGAAGCATAGTTATATACATATATATAAAATAAATATTTTGAGGGGCTGGAGAGATGGCTCAGCAGTTAAGAACACTGGTGGTTCTTGCAGAAGACCCATTCAAATCCCAGCACCCACATGGTAGTTAACAACTGTCCGTAACTCTAGTTCCAGGGGATCCGACAGCTTCTTCTATCTTCTACAGCACTACACGACACGGGTGCACTTACCTACATGCAGGCAATACACGCATACACGTAAATAAAAATAAAAAATAAAATTTAAAATAATAATTTGAAGGACTTAAAGGTTGCCAGTAGAAAAGATTTTCATATTCTACATCTGGATCTTGTCTTGAAAATCACTTCGTATGTGGTGTGTGTGTGTGTGTGTGTGTGTGTGTGTGTGTATGCATGTTCATGTATTTGACAATATATTATTAAAATTTTTATCAAAGGGACTGGAGAGATGGTTCAGTGGTTAAGAGCACTTGCTGTTCTTGCAGAAGACCTAAGTTTGGTTCCCAGGACACATATTGGGCAGCATACAACCACCTAGAACTCCAGTCCCAGAGGATGTGACACCTTCTTCTGTACTCCAAGGGCACTGCACTTACAACATGCACATTCCCAGACACACATGTATACATAATTAAAAAGAAATCTTAAAAAATGATCAAGGGGCTAGAGAGATGGCTCAGTAGTAAATAACACTTCCTGCTCTTGCAGAGAACCTGGGTTCAGTTCCCAGCACCACATGGCAGCTCACTGCAGCCCCTAACTAGTTCTAAGGGATCCTACACCCCCTTCTAGCCTCTAAAGGCAACAGGCATATACATGGTGCACATACATGCAAGGAAACGCTCAAACACATAAAGTAAAAGAAAATCTTTGGGGAAAAAACACATTATGAAACGGAAACCTGCCACAAAGATGACACAAAGTAATGACTTTTCTATCATATCTTTGGGAACCAAGAAAAACATATTGGAAGAAATACCAACAATTAAAAGAAACTCTAAAAATGGAATAGTATGGTATAATGTACAGAATCTTATGAATTTGCTTTTTTAAAATGTAACATTCAGGGCTGGCAAGATGGTTCAGCAGGTAAAGATGATTGCCACCAAGCCTGATGACTTATGTTCATTCCCTGGGACCCACATGGTAAAGGGAGAAAACTGATTACTGCAAGTTGCCTTCAGAGAGAGAGAGAGAGAGAGAGAGAGAGAGAGAGAGAGAGAGAG